AATATATATATATATATATATATATACGTCACTGTGCTGGGCATTATTTAAAATACAAAATACATAGCATTTTTCTTTGTATAGTATACTTTAATCTCTGATAAACAATTTAAATGAGTTAAGTTTTGTTTTACACATTGTAATACAAATCCGAATCTTGTAACTGCTTTAAATTATATATTGTTTAGTTTTAATACTTAATATTAAGTAGTAAAATTCAATGTTTATAGCGAGCATTTATCAAATAAATTCTGACTTCGTTAAATTAGAATTTAGTCATTTTCATTCTGATTTCTATCTTATTTGACATATTTGATCAACCAATAATGGGTACTCCATCATTACTTAAGTAGGCCTGTAAAATGACAAATTATCAGTCATGCTATAATATATTATGTAAAATTTATCCAAGCATACATTCTCTACTGACAGCATAATAAATTTTTGTCATCGTTAAATTTATGTATTTTCTGCTAGAATGAATATTTATTTTAAAAATACTGTATAAAAAACTTTATTAACAACTTCTTTTAATTGTTCTCAAAAAACGAAAGCTAATTTATCAATTTTGTGAAATAACAGTTTATTTTTATTTTCATAATGCATCACTAATATTTTCTAGAGTCCAGTCTGTATTTAAACATTACTCTGATACACATTAACATTCTTATTTAAAAACGTATTAGAAATGCTATTATATCACCAAAAGTTGAGTGTGGAAAGATTGGCATTTTGACGAAATCTTTGAAAGCAATTTCATACATCTTTCGGCCGAATGAGTGAGCTGTTAAGCCTATACTGCTCTGAGACACCCGGATCGATCCGAACTGGTTAGAAACCCCATTGAAATTTTTCATAGATTGGTCTGCCGGATATGTCGGACTCCGTCCGTCAACATCTGTCCCTATTGTGGATTTGGCCGAATCCATAATGGGCTTACTAAAAAGTCCCTCTTAGTGCCCAGATGGCAGAAAAAGTAAAAATAATGTAATACAATACAAAAAGCAGCTATAGCACCCCAAAAAACATTGACATTGTAAGGAATGACGTCAAGGAGATAAAAAATTTATTTTTTATTAAAATTACTGATACGTTTGAAACGAAATATGGGCAATAAATACTCTAGTATATCATTCTAATTATTAACTTAAATTTAATCACAAATATTAAAAATTTTTGTTTTATTTCAAACTATCAGTCAATATGTTCAAATGTATTCAATAAAAAATAAATTTTCTGTCTCCTTGTCGTCATCCCTTACATTGACAATGTTATTTGGATTGATTTATATTATCTTTAGGAAGGAATTTACAGCTGAATTCAAACGTAGTTCAAACAAAATATTATAATTTAAAGACTTATAGATATGAAATCTATAATATTAATATTTTATATTGCAATTAAACAGATTTTCTGATAATTAGAATTAGTATTATAAAATTATAGAATTATTACAAGCAATATTCTATACTATAAAACATTTTTTTATTAAGGTCATTATTGTTAAATACTTTATTTCTCTGATATTCTTATTATGTTTTCCAATAGTTTTCATTTGAAAAAATGAAACAGTTCTAAAAATCTAGATTAAGGGTTTTTTTTAATCTGTACATTTTCATTGATGCATTTTGATTAAAAAACAAAATTGATTGATCGAGGCTTGTCTTTTGAAATAATGAGATATGTATATTATGTTATTGATTTTCTTTATTTTAGTATTAATAAATACATTGTATATTTTTAAAATAAAAATTTACTCATCAATACAACGAAATAGAAAAATCATATAAAAACATCTTATCAGTTCAAAAGAAAGTCGATTAATTTTTTTTCGTTTATGTTATGAATTAGTAAAAATGTTTAAAAATGTTATGAAAGAACTACAGTTTATTATTATTATGTAACAGATTATTAAATTACATTGTTAATCTGTTTAAACATATGTCAAAGTTTCTCAGATGAATCTCGGTTAATTCTTTGTGTAGGTGTTGCGATCCATAAATCTGTGTTGAAATGTAACTTTACTCACATTTAGTCTGGTTGACAACTCTTCATTTAATGTTATATCAGCGATTTCACTGTTTGTGTTTTATTTTTGTTATTGGTCTTATTTGATCAGCTTTGAAGTATGGCAAGTATTTTATTTGAGAACGACACTAGGGTCTTAAAATAAAGACTAAGTGATTATAAGACCGATATCAAAAACAGAAGGTAAACAATGAACTTAGCTGACAACAATGAACAAAGGATTTGAAACAGATTGGAATGAAGTGCCATTATATTTTTAAAAAATCACCAAAAAATTTGTACAAGAAATTTTAGAAATAAACTCTATTAAAAGTACTATTTTTTTTAGGTTTATCTACAAAAATCAGCTAACATCTTACAATATTTTTTTATATTTACAATTTAAATTATGGTATTTTATATATGTAAATTATAAAAATTTAAATATTATTAATATAAAAAAGTTGTATCCAAACATAAAACATAATCGTAATTAACGGCAATTATTTATTGTGACATTGTCGCAATGCCTGAGTGCAATTTTTAATCATATTTTTAATTTATTTAATTTAAAATATATTCTTTATCTCAAATTAGTAGAGGCTTAGCCTCTGTATATCATGCTTTTCCTTTACCAATAGAGTCGTGCGGATCATCTATCTAACCCCTTTCAAGGAAAGATTTTTGAATTGACTTCCGGTTTGCATCGGAAATTTGTATACAATTAATCAGGGCCTTCTGTTCCCTAATGTTTACACATATTGTCTCTTCTTTCATCTATGTAACTCCGTTCTCGAGATTAAGAANTACAAAAATTTCTTGTATAATTATGATAGAGATTTAATAATATATCTTTGGAAAACTGAGAATAACTGAGAATAACTAAGATAACTGAGATTTTTAATACGATACTGAGAAACATTTGGTTAATTTTTCAATCTTTTAAATTTTTATTGGGCTTCAATTTGAAAAAATTGTAGACCTATAAATTCCCATTGTTGTCCGACTGTTTGTCTGTTCTTTCTTAATCTCGAGAGAAGAGTTAGACAGATAAAAGTCAATCTAAATGTAGAAAGATTATTGGCAAGAGACCGAGATTAACTGCACCTGATTAACTTGACTTCCTGTGTAGAGCGGAAGTTACGTGATTTCAATTCAAAATTTTTCCTCGCGAAGGCGTTAGATGACAGGCATGAATTTATTGTTAAAGGCAAAGTATGATGTACAGGGGCAAGACACTACAAATTTAATGACGAAAGCATAAATTAAATAAAGGTAAAAAATATAATTAAAAATTGCAACCCGCCATTTGACGATGTCACAATAAATAATTATTCGTTACGGAAGTATCTTATTACAAAAATTAAAATTGTTTTATAGAAATTATTTTAATTGCAAGATAATGTGTTAGAGAAAAACGGATTATATCCTACTTTAAAATTACGTTTTACTTTAAAAATTAGCTATTAGATTAGCATAATTACGAGAAGTGTCCAGAAAATAAAGAACATTTGGCTATAAAAATAGAAAAAAAACAGAAATGATAGAAAAAAGTTTTATTAAGTAATTACTACAAGACCAGTTACTTTTCTATATAGTCACCATTAAGGTTACAGCACTTGTGATAGCGCGACGTAAGTTTTTCGATTCCTATGACATGACTTCCACTCCCAGTTCTTTCACCCAGTTAATGACAGCCTCTTTTATCTCTCATCCGTTCCAAATCCACCTAAATACTCTTTCAGTTTGGGAAAGAAATGAAATTCACTAGCGGCCAGGCCGGGACTGTATGTTGGTCGAAAACGTCTCAGCCAAATTTCTGAAGCACAGCTTGATTGGCTGCAGTAGAATTCGATTGCTCGTTATCTTCCTTGATTAAGCATTAAATACCAATTTCTCATATACACTTCCATGATTTTTAATGAATTTCTATAGGACGAACTTTCTTCGCGTTTAGAAAACGAATAACACTTCTGATTTTGTATTTGGCAGGATTTTCGATTTTTGTACACATTTTGTCTTGACAAAGCAGTAACAATAAATCTGCCGTTATGGAAACTCTACACGAGCTAAGCTAACAATCAGAGAACAAATTGACTTTGAATCGATGGTGATAATTTATCTGCACAGAGTGCTATGAGCAAGCGTTCTTTATTTTTTGAACTTCCCTCGTATATTAAATCTTGAAACACTAAACTTTTTATAATAAATTTGATTTTAAAATAGCAATAATTGTAAAAAATACATATATAATTTTTTTTAAATTTTAACACTAAAAATATATAGACCTATTGATAAATTTCATCCAGGTAACTTATTTAAAAATATGAACTGGCTTTGTTTATTCTGAATTTATATCCAGTAATAGTAAACAGTATAATTATCGAAAAATATTTATTTTAAAAGATTTCGATCATTAAAAAAATCTAAATGATAAAAAATGGACTTACGAATTACTAGATGTTTAATAGGAATATAGATTTCTTTATTAAATCTTTAATAAATTTAATAATAAAATGAGACTTTGACTTAGACCAGTATAATTTAGTTTTTACTTACCTTTCCATATATCCGATTCTTGTGCAAATGGATACCAATAAGCCCATAACTGAACAATAATAAATGGACACGAACATGCAATGTAACAGATGATAACCACTACAGTTATCTTGATAGTTTTAATCTTTGCTCTACTGAGTTTCCTTAAGGAATTACTTCGAGGCAAGAACGATCCTTCGTGAGTGATTAGTTCTTTTTTCTTAATTCCTGTAATATTTGAACTATTTTTCTCATTTGAAACTTCTTTTATTGGAATTTTGTGTTTATACAAATTGTCGCAAATAATCTTGCAAATACGGACGTACGTAAAGATAATCACCATTAGAGGAATGAAAAATACAGATATAGCGTACCAAGTTACGTATGCTTTTTCACCCCAAGGTTGAATGAAAGTGCCCCAACAGTCCTTGGTGCCTGTAAGAGTGTCCATTTCTTGATAAGAGAATATAAATAATTGGGGAACACAACATAAAAGAGAAGTTATCCAAGCAGATAATATCATTATCTTCGATCTCTTAGGAGTCCAAGAGAAACTAGCCAATGGATAACAAATAGCTTGATAGCGATCAATAGCTGTAACTACCAACACATACGACGACAAATAGGGACCAAGAATCTGGAAATATTTAACAAATTTACACAAAAAGTTGCCTCCACGAAATCGATATGTTATGTCCCATGCGATTTGAGGAAGGACGTGAAGAAAAGCTGTTACAAGATCTGACACACAGAGATGAAAAAGAAAATAATACATCCTTGTCATCTGAATCCGACTACTAGTAAGCGCTAAAAGAACGAGACAGTTGCCAATTACATTGAAAATAAAAATAAAAAACAACGTGATAATTTCTGCCAGCGCCAATGTTTCATCTCTCTCGGATGAGGATGATTTATATGATTCGTTTGATATCGAATAATTAAGATACATTCAGAATATTTGCATTTATATACATAACATTTTAATGTATCTAAAAAATAAAAAAAAAGTTCTTGTAAATTTTAAAAATATTCTTTCTGTTTTGACAGGATCTAAATTTTTGTTTTCATAGATATGATCTCCTTTCCGTAGATTATCCTAAAATTAAAATAATATTATTTTAAAATTAAATTAATATCATTACTTCTATTATTATGTGAGTGTTAAACATTATAAAAAGCAAAAAATTCTCACCTTTTTCAAATTAAACAAAAGATGAACTTTGAAATCTGACTTTAACATTAACAATCCTCAATAATCTATAATAAAAGTAATTTTAAATTAAAACAAAATATTTGATTAATTGCCATATCAAATTTGCCTTATTATAAATTATTTCTGTACATAAATAATAATACTGAAAATCAATTAATTTGCTTTTTAAATATCAAAATTTTGCACTAAGTAGCTTAAGCGTAGTAAATATATGCATTTCAATTGTAGTATAAAAATCAGCATTTAAATCATCATGAAACCTGAAATAAAACGATTTCAACATTTTTTCGTAAAGTTTTAATTATTTATTTTTATCAACAATGCAGTTATTTTTTTTATCAACTGCATATATTAAGAAAAAACCATATTGAAGGAATTCAGGATATATTTGAAGGATACCATGTTATGTTAAAATGTAATATTAATAATTAATAACTGCAGTTCTATATTTAAATATAAGACTTAAGTAGGGTAAATTTTATTTTCGTTTAAAGCAAATATTTTAACCAGACAAACAACGTATCGCTGAATAAACAGATAAATGTTTGCTAAAATTATATATATTTTTTCAAATAAAAATAAATTTATCGTGGCAACTGTATATGCAGTATTCATGTTACATACAATTATAAGTATACAAATATAGATTTAGTATATGTCTCTTCAATCCGAATGGTTAACAAACGGTAGACTTTATTTCAGCTCTGAGGTTAAGTATTCCTTTATTGTAAATTACATATGCATTTCAGGCTTGTATGAGCCCCTCTTCAGTGTAAATTCTACACAAAATTTAAAAACAAAAATCAATTTACAAAATTTTTTTCCGGTGTAAAGATTAATCAACATTAAATTCTTTTTCATACCTCAGATGGTTGAGTAACACTTTTTAAAAATTGTATGACATCAACAATGATATTATTACCAACGAAACACATGAATAACAATCGTATATGAGTATAATTCCCAAACCTTAAAAACAGTAAATATCTATTATTATCTTACATATTATTACCCATTATATTATTACGTATTATATTATTACATTTTACATTTTTTACAATTTACATTTTTTTAATTATACAAATTACATTTACAAATACAACTTAAAAAACCACAATGTTTTAGTTATTTCTATTTACAATTAAATGTTTTGTTAATTTTAAAACCAAAAAAAGAAGTATAAAAATATACATACGGGCTTATTATTTTATGGTCTTACAATTTTTTACTTCATATGGCTCATTTGTTACAGTTTAAGTCACGCCCTCTATTACATTATACCATTGTTCATCAATCTGCATACCATTCGATAAATTTACTAGATTATTATTACTATTTTTTATTATTTCAATATGTTCTTTAAATTTGCGTTTATAAATTTCCTTTTCATAATGTAATATTTTTATGTTATTCCTATCAATCTTACAATTATTAACATTTATGTGATCGAACCAAGGGGAATTGTTATATTTTAATTTTATAGCGGCTTCATGCTCTTTAATTCGTAATTCTAATTGCCTACCTGTTTCACCTATATAGTTTTTTGGATTTAT